CAGTGGCTCTAAGAATGGAGAGGAAGAGATGGGATTTTTTTCCCTTGAACTTCTTTGTTTTTTATTTTGAAGCATAGTGTCTGTGATAACACTTTGAAATATAAATTCTGCTGATAAAATGACAGTTTTTTATCCAGAAGGTTCAGATTGCTTGATTACCAGGACTCATGGGAGCAGATGGTGGTCCCAAATCTTTCCTGGATTGTGAGGGTGGATATATCTATCTCAAGTTCAAGCTGTGTGTGTGGGTGGGCATCACACAAGTACATTGGCGCCTGTTGACTGGGGAAAAAAAGATAAATTGAGGTTCAGGAAATGTTGCTTTCACTAGGAAATGAATATAGTTAAGTGCCTGAAAGTCTTTGCTGGGGAACTGAAAGAGAGATTGGTACTATTATTCTAAACGTCATTATCTCTCTTTTTAAAGACTGATTTATGATTAGCACAACCCTCCTTGGAAAAACCTACTGGCCATATATAAAAATTTCTGGAAAAGCTGTTTTTATTATCAGGGATTTTTTAACCATCGCCACAACTGTAACACCATTCTTAGTTCCATATTTTAATATACCTGCAAGAAGCCTCTTCTAACATACATATGTGAGACCCTAGACATCACAGTAGGCTAATTCAGCAATTCAAACAACATGCAAGAAGAGAGCTGATCTTTTAAAAAGACTTCACAGGTATATGTAAATAATATCATTATGTGAGGACACTGATTACTAAGAGGGCAACAAAGTTAATTGTTGTTTTTCATTCATTCTTCGTGATCTAATGGACCAGCCCACGCCAGAGCTCCCTGTTGGCCGTCACCACCCTCAAATCCTTCAAGGTCAAGCCAGTCACTTCAAGGATACCATCCATCCATCTTGCCCTTGGTCGGCCCCTCTTCCTTTTTCCTTCCATTTTCCCCAACATAATTGTCTTCTCTAAGCTTTCCTGTCTTCTCATGATGTGGCCAAAGTACTTTATCTTTGCCTCTACTATCCTTCCCTCCAATGAGCAGTCAGGCTTTATTTCCTGAAATATTGACTGGTTGGATCTTCTGGCGGTCCAAGGCACTCTCAGAACTTTCCTCCAACACCACAATTCAAAAGCATCTATCTTCCTTCACTCAGCCTTCCCTATGGTCCAGCTCTCACAGCCATAGGCTACTATGGGGAATACCATTGTTTTCACTATGTGGATCTTCGTTGCCAGTGTGATATCTCTACTTTTCACTATTTTATCAAGATTGATCATTGCTCTCCTTCCAAGAAGTAAGCATCTTCTGATTTCCTGGCTGCAGTCTGCATCTGCACTAATCTTTGCACCTAGAAATACAAAGTTTATCACAGCCTCCACGTTTTCTCCCTCTATTTGCCAGTTATCAATCTGTCTGGTTGCCAGAATCTTGGTTTTTTTATGTTTGACTGCAACCCAGCTTTCGCACTTTCTTCTTTTATCTTGATTAGAAGGCTCCTCAGCTCCTCTTAGCTTTTGGCCATCAAAGTGGTATCATCTGCATATGTAAGGTTGTTAATGTTTCTTCCGGCAATTTTAACCCCAGCCTTCCATTCATCAAGCCCCGCACATCACATGATGTGTTCTGCATACAAGTTGAATAGGTTGGGTGAGAGTATACAACCCTGCCAAATGCCTTTCCCAATCTTGTTGTTCCAAGGTCAGTTCTTACTGTTACTACTTGGTCCTTATACAGATTCCTTATACAGATACAGATACCTTATACAATAAGCCACTCTGTATCCCCCTTGGGATGAGAAAGAGCAGGATATAAATATAGTAAATAAATAAATACGTTTATATAATTTAAGTGTAACACACAAAATAAATCATTAATTGTTGGGAATTATTTGCTATTGTGTTTGTATGGTGGAGGAATATTAATGCAGCAATGGAGATACACTTAATTTGAATGAATACTACATACCTATTACTGATTAGCAGGTAATACTTGTGTGTTAGTTTGATTTCTTAGTGAACATCCAACCAGGACTAGTAAGTCGGTTGTTTCCGATCACAAACACCTCAAACCTCAGAAGATTTGTTTGTACGCTTTTCTGAGTATACTGCATCAAAATGCAATATACTGTACTCAGAAAAGTGCACGAATAAATATTCTGAGTTCAAATGTAGTTTTTAAATCTCATTGAGAAAATGTTACATGATTCTGGATCAGTGGGTGTTAGAACAGCTTTCTTAAAACGGATTTGAACAAGTGTTAAAGCCTACAGCCAAGAAAATCCTCTTAGAGAGTTAATCTCTGAGTAGTAAACAACAAATCTAAGGCCTTGCATTAAATGAAACAATGATGGGTTTTGTTTTATGCTTTTCAATGTAAGCAGTACAGTGTTGGGAACTCAACCACAAGGAAATGCACGGGAAACAATGCATTACAGGAGATTCTCAGTTAACCAGTACCCATGCAGATTGACAAATGTTGGATAAATATAGTTTCTGGTTGTTTGAGTTGCCATGAAAAATAGGCCTAAATAATTGTATATCTCATACTATACCACACCATAAACTCTGTACTGACTTGATATTCATATTGAAATACAGTAATTAAAGATAAATTACAGCAAATAAAGACAGACTTAATGTAACCATTTGACTGTATTATAGAAACAGCTTGTTTTATTTAAAGCATCATTTCTTTGATGTGTTTTGCCAGTTGCTTGAGAGTTCCAGTTAACAAAGACTGGTTTTACATTCTACATTGCCAAATAACGCAGTTTGGGCTGCATTACATGGTCAGTGTAGAGCCACATAAAGCTGTTTGATGCAGTTCAAACTGTATTATGTTGTTCAACGCTGACTGTATAATTCAGTTTGAACTACATTATTTGGCAATGTAAAACCAGTCTGAAAGTCTACTGTATTTTAAAGTTACAGAATAAAAAGGGGGTGGTGTGGTTGGTGATAAAATGACAGCAAGGAAGCAGCCATTCTGGCCTCCCTGGGAAAAGAACTCCAGAGCCCAAGGGTAGCCACCAAGAAGTTGCTCTCCTGTGTCCCCACCAACTGTGTTTGTGATAGTAAAGTGGGACTGAGCAAAAGGTCTCTGATGGTATCTGAACTCGGGCTGGGTCATAGATGAAGATATCATCTAACAAATAGCCCTGGACTTAAGCCATATAGGGCTTTGGAAGTCAAAACTTTATTTTCTATTTACTTTGTTTTATATTCTGCCCTCTCTCCCTCATAGGGGGACTCAGTACTAATAATTATTATCATTATTATTATTATTATTATTATTATTAAACTTTCTTTATACCCCGCCACCATCTCCCCTCAGGAACTTGGGGTGGCTAACAAATACAATAATCAAAATAAAATACATACAGCAGATAATAACTAAAATAAAATACAAACCATAAAAGAAATAAAAACCACACAATTGGATAAAGCACAGGATATGGGTATGATAAAAGGGGGGGAAAGGGTTAAACAAAGTGAGCTGGGCCATATGCAGAATAAAAACAGGGGAAATTGGGTGAGATAGGGGAGATTAGGTGAGTAGTTTATCTGGTGGGAGATATGGATGGGACAAGCTATGGGGTTTATTTCCCACTAGGGGATGAGATAAAATGCATCGAGAGGACAAGTTTATGGTGGGAACAGGCACGATATGGGGATTTGTTGCTCATTCATCAAAAGCAAGGCAGAACAGACAAGTTTTCAAGCTTTTCCTAAAGGCTGACAATTCTGTCTAGAATTATGTCTAGAAATAGAACTAACAGCCATAGGGCTGTTGCAACCATGGAGTTGTATGATCCCTACAGTCAATCCCAGTTAACAATCTGGCTGCACTTTTTCGTATCAGCTGGAGTTTCCAAACACTCTTCAAAGGCAGCCCCAAGTAGAGCACATTACAGTAATCCAAACAATGCAGCATGTCCTGTCAACATATTTATGTGTTATTCACTAATTAATCCCAAATTTTGTCCCAAGTAGAATTTAAAAAATAATAGTTAAAAAGTAGCAATTAAATAAGCTACCATATTAAAATGCCAATACTTCAAATACTTCAAATAATTTAAGTTTAAAACCATAACAAGAACAATAAAAATTGCAGCACACACACTAGGGCATTAAAGACCTTTTTTATAGCTACTTAGTCACCAAATGATTGTTTAAATAGAAAGGGAGAGCACGGAGGGAGGCAGTCTAGTCTCCTATGGCAGAAAGGTGGACTGTAACTCCAGGAGGCATCCAGGGGTAGCGATATAGATAGGGAAGAGATAGGGGAAGGATGGTCAAGAATCACCAAAAAAACAACAACCTTAAGAGTCCATGAGACCACAGAAGAACATCTGTCTATTAGGCATGGGCAATCCATGGTTCTAAATGGTTCTAAAGTACTTACAAAACGAGGGGGCGCCGGTGCTTTGCTTCTAAAGTGTTTCTAAAGTTCTGGTGGTGAAAATTTTGTTATAAATGGCAGTTCCTAATTGGTTCTGCCATAAAAATTGCCAATAATGAAATAATAATGGCATTTTGAAAGTTTTGTTAGAGTTCTGAAATTTTCACCACCAGAACTTTAGAAGCAAAGCACCAGCGCCCACTAGTTTTGTAAGTTCTTTAGAACCATTTAAAACCATGGATTGCCCATGCCTATGGTCTATCCCTGATATTTCTTTCTTCCACTGTCAGTATATCAAGGATGTGATAAAATCAATTTCTGTGAAATGTATAGGCAGATATCTCTCATGGAGCATGAAAAAAATATGCTATCCAGGGTTTCAAACTTAGGACCAATGTGGTTTAAATATTTACTTGGCTTCATATTAATATGGCAAAAAGGGATATGGCAAAAACTTGATATGGCTAAGTTTGTAAAGGATGGATTCAGAACCAACATTGATTGGCTGAATTTTTACCCAGACCTTTTCCCAAAATAGGATCCAAGATGACCATGAGCAATACAGAACCATAAGCCATACAGGAGCATCTAAAGAACTAGGTTGAAAACAACATTCAAGTAGCATAGTCACCTGTTTATAAAATTCATCAAACGTGATGATGGGCCCATTGTGAAACACAGGATAATAGAACACGTATGCCAGCATCCAAAGGAACGAGGGCTCAGTCATCTTGGTAGGTTTGCTCCAGCAGTACTCAAGGCTGAAGCTTGTATAATAGAGGCAGCGGACAGTCAGAGCGAACAGAAGCAAGAAGTACTCATTTTCACTGGCATACCAGCTTCTCTGCAAAACAAAGCCATATTGCAAATATTGTGGTTATCTCATGCATGAATATATAGAGATAGGGCACAAGAGTTTAATGCTACAGCACACTATCTAATAAGTAAGCTGCTTATATAATGTTTGCTAAGGGACACAAAATATTAGGGACAACACAATGTGCCATTCACCTGCACAAAATAAAAAAAAACAGCCTGGGTTTCTCCTATCTTGTAATAATGTGAGAAACAGTCTAAGATAGCCCATCTTGTATGTCATCAGATGATACCATTTAGTTAAAATACTTTATTGTAAGGGAAAGGAGTCCCAGTGGCACAGTGGGTTAAACCGCTGAGCTGCTGAACTTGCTGACCAAAAGGTTGCCGGTTCAAATCTGGGGAGCAGGGTGAGCTCCCGCTGTTGGCCCCAGCTTCTGCAAACCTAGCAGTTTGAAAACATGCAAATGTGAGTAGATAAACAGGTACCACTCCAGTGGGAAGGCAACAGTGCTCCATTCAGTTATGCTGGCCGCATGACCTTGGAGGTGTCTATGGACAACACCAGCTCTTCGGCTTAGAAATGGAGATGAGCACCACCACCCCAGAGTCGGACACAACTGGACTTAATGTCAGGGGAAAACTTTTACCTTTACCTAAAGGAAAGGGCACAACATCAGACCCCCCCCCCCCCACAAAAAAAATCTCTTTTGAATTACCTATAAGACATATGTAGCTCCCACAGTGTTGTTTTGTTTTCCTCACCTGAGAAAAAATGTAACAACTGTATACTGAACCAACTATTGAAGATCTATCTATTCAGATATTATATGTTTAGAATTTTACAGAAACCAACATATATTCCACAACAGCACTGAAAACGAGTCTACGGTGAAGAGAGGACTCAATATCAAAATCAGCTCCAAAGGCAGGAGGATTTATTTTAAACCTTGAAGAACAAAGCTCATTGACAGCCTTGGGTTAAGAGCACCCTGCTACAGATTTGAATTATTCTGACATTTGGCTCCATGTACTGCTGTGGATTTTCTATATCCGCTGAGAAAATATCCAGCAGAAAGAAAAGAGACAATAATCATAGAATTATAATTATGTCATTTTGGCCCAAACCTTCTTCTTCCCAGCAATTAGGACACTTATTTGAAAATGCAAGACCTGAGACCTTCCTCCATTTTAAGAGTTTTAAACGTGGAAAGGATAATGACAATGAAACACTAATGTACTTGGAAATCACATAAATACCTCTAGAGTACCTGTAATTTCACGGACACAATTTAGAGTCAAAGGGACTTGGAGAAAGTTTTAACTTTGCCTGATATCAAAGGCAATCTGGAGGAAGCTGTTTTTCTAACTCGCTTCTCCCTGCAGGAGTCCCTCCACCCACCTTAAAATGCTGTGCATAAGTTAAAGGGGATCCTTTTGACAGGATGGAAGTATTGTCATTGTGAGTTGCAGGTTACCTTTTCAAGGTAACTTTGAAAAGGTTAATTTAATATTACTTTAAAAAAGAATATCAAATTTAAAAAGCAAGAGGATCCAATCAAACTACAATCTGTGTGGCTTGACAAAAGGTTTTAAGTCAAATCCAATATTAGGCTGAAAAATTAAGTTGCTGTATCAAGGAGAAGGGATCAAGATATTATTATTATTTTACTGACACAAAACCACAAAACTGAGATCTATATGCTGGATTTTGTATCAAAAAATCACAAGTCGAACACTTCCCAAGCGTCTAAGACTGTGTGATGTATTTCCGAATGATGCGCGCAGATCCAAGTAAGGTGGCCTTTTGCAGTTGACAGATCGTGACTTTGTCATTGTTTATTGTTTCCAAATGCCGGCTGAGATCTTTTGGCTTGGCACCCAGTGTGCTGATGACCATTGGGACCATCTGTACTGGTTTATGCCAGAGCCTTTGCAGTTCGATTTTGAGGCCTTGATAACGGCTGAGTTTTTCCTGTTGTTTTTCCTCAATGCAGCTGTTACTAGGTATGGTGACATCAATAATCCAGACTTTTTTCTTTTCCACAATTGTGATGTCTGGTGTATTGTGTTCCAAAACTTAGTCAGTCTGGATTCAGAAGTCCCACAGTATTTTTGCATGTTCATTTTCCATGACCTTTGCAGGTTTATGATCCCTATTATTATTGTTGTTATTATTATTTCTTATTTGCCTCTCCTTATGGCTCGAGATGGGTTACAAACCAATTAAAACACACAGCAAAAACACTACAAATACACACACTAAAAGGTGCCTCTATAAAAGTTACATATCACAACGTATCTCTATGAAATACATATTAAAACAGACAAAACAGAGATTAAACAAAGCACATGCATTAAAATTCTTGTTTATGTCTAAAGACTGTCTGAGTATGCCTGCAGGAAGATGCAGGTCTTCACTTGTGTCATAAATTTTGAGAGCTGATTTAGCTGTTGGAGCTCTACTGGCAGATGCCCCCCAGAAGACCAAAGTGTATGGGGCGGATTGTATGGAAGAAGGAGATCCTTTAGGTAACCTGGACCCAAACCATGTAGGGCTTTAAAGGTCAAAACAATCACCTTGTACTTTGCCCAGAAAGTAATTGGCAGTCAGTGGAGTGACTTTAGTATGGGTGTAATATGTCCCATCTGTACTGTGAATGCTGGGAAGCTCTTCTCCTGGTAAAGATCAGTTCTACTTAAGGACAAAAGCAAGGAGTCTCTCAGGAGAAACATTAAAAATAAATGGAATGTCCAAGACACTCCCTCCTATATTCGTTCACTCCATACCTAAACTCCACCCTAGAATTTGAGTATTTGTGAACTAAGTGGCTTAGAGCTGGCAACCTTCTTCTATATTGTTGTTAGATGCTTTCATGTTAATTTAAACTTTTGGTGAACCTAAGGTGGATCTATCACTGGGTTTTCTTGACAAGGGTTTAGAGGGAAGTTGCCTTTCTCTGTGGCTGAAAGAGTGTGACTTGCCCAAGGTCATCCAGTGGGTTTCCATGACCAAAAGACTATTCAAACCCTGCTCTCTAGAGTTGCAGTCCAATAGTCAAACCATGAGATGATGCTGGCTCTCCTCCAACAGCCATTTTCTTTTTCTTCTTGCTGCTGCAGCTCCCTTTATGTATACTGTTGGAATAATCATCCCAACAAAGGGATACTATTGCAATTTGTGTCTTAAATTCTAGTCTCTTTACCACTCTGGTTTGTTCCTTCAGTTCCTTTTGACGTTCATTCCTTTTGACAGGTATCTTTTTAAAAGACCCCTGTTCATTGCCTTCCATGTCAAGTTGGATTTTTCTGTGTCAAGATTTGGTCAAGAGTTGATACCTCTTTTTTTTTGTATAACTCATGATTTATGGAGTACAGTCACATGTTGCAGAAGTATATAGCAGATCTGTTAGCACTACTTCTATACTCCATGACCATGTTGAAGGAATTCCTAGTTCTCAACCTATGGGTCCCCAGTTGTTTTGGCCTTCAACTCCCAGAAATCCTAACAGCTGGTAAACTGGCTGGGATTTCTGTGGGACCCCCAGGTTGAGAACCACTGTCCTAATTCATGTGAATCTGTGTAAAGATAATGTGATGATGTTATGGTTTTGGAAGTATATTAAGGGTCCTTTTGTACATGACATTTTATTATTTGTAAGAGTAATCAGCCTTTCAGTTGGTCTGAAAATTGAGATGTTTCTTTAGATGTTTCCTGCTGTCTGAGTAGATTTAGTCAGATTAATTTGTTTGTCGGTTTCTATATATATTTATGAGCACTATATATTTATAAGTACTGTATGTTTTACATACTTCCCATTATAACTGCACATGTTTTTTTCAGTCCTAGCCCAAGTACAACATTTTTATAAATGACTTGGAATACAGGACATGCTCATCAAATTGCAGATGACAACAAATAAGGATGGGTAGTTAATACCACAGGTATTCAAAATATCCTTAACAGATTGGAGAACTGAGTCAAAATTAACAAAATGAATTTCAGCAAGAAGAAATGTAAAGTATTACCTTCAGGGCAAAGAAATGAAATGCACAGGCATATGAGTGACACCTGGTTTTACACATGAAAAGGATCTAAGGTGCTTTAGTAGATAACAAGCTGGACACAAGTCACAGTGTGATGCGGCAGCTTAAAAGGCCAATGCAATTCTTGGCTGCATCAACAGGAGTATAACTCCTATATCAAGGGACATAATAGTACCACCCTATTTTGCTTTGGAATAATGTTCAGTTCTGGGTACTACAATTCAAGAAGGTTATTAACAAGATAGAATATTTCTAGAGTGGCCAAAATGGTATGTAAGGGGCCCTGAAACATAAGTGGAGTGGCTTAGGAAGTTGAGTAAATTTAGTCTGGAGAAGAGAAGATTAAGAGATTAAGATTAAGAGGGGACGTGATAGACATGTTTCACTATTTAAGGGAATGTTGTGGTAGCTTAATCTGATGCTCCAGTGATTAGGACAGGGGTCCCCAAACTACGGCCCGTGGGCCGTATGCGGCCCGCCAAGGGCCTTTATCCGGCCCGCGCGGCCTGTCCTGGCCTGTCCAAAGCCCCTCGCCGCGCGGCCTGTCCAAAGCCCCTCGCCGCCGCCAATGGCGTCTGCTCTGCTGCGCTTCTCCCTCCACAGGCTTCTCCTTCCACACGGGATGGAGAAGCCTGTGGAGGGAGAAGCGCTCTCTGCTCTCCCACGGAGAACAGAGAGCAAAGCAGAGCGGGCGCCATTGCTCTACCACAGAAAATCCCTGGTGGCGCGAATGGTGGAGGCGGCGCCAGGTGGGCGTGGCCAGGCTTCCGGGCCAAGGAAGCCAGCATCGCTTGGCCACGCCCATCCGCCGCCTCCACCATTCGCGCCACCAGGGATTTTCTGTGGTAGAGCAATGGCGCCCGCTCTGCTGCGCTTCTCCCTCCACAGGCTTCTCCATCCCGTGTGGAAGGAGAAGCCTGTGGAGGGAGAAGCGCAGCAGAGCGGACGCCATTCCTCTGTAACAGACGATCCCTGGTGGCAAGGAAGGCGTCCGCAAATGGTGGAGGCGGCGCCGGGTGGGCGGGGCCAAGCGACCCGGCGCCGCCTCCACCATTTGCGCACGCCTTCCTTGCCACCAGGGATCGTCTGTTACAGAGGAATGAATGGCGTCCACTCTGCTGCGCTCTCTGTTCTCCGTGGGAGAGCAGAGAGCGCTTCTCCCTCCACAGGCTTCTCCATCCCGCGCTGCTCTGGAAAGGTTTGGCCCAATTCTATTGTTGATGAGGTTCAGAATGCTCTGTGATTGTAGGTGAACTACAAATCCCAGCAACTACAACTCGCAAATGTCAAGATTCTATTTCCCCCATACTCCACCAGTGTTCACATTTGGGCATATGGAATATTCGTGCCAAGTTTGGGCCAGATCTTTCATTGAATCCACAGTGATTTATGGAGGCAGGTGAACTACAACTCCAAAACTCAAGGTCAATGCCCACCAAACCCTTCCAGTATTTTCTGTTGTTCATGGGAGTTCTGTGTACCAAGACTGGTTCAATTCCAGCATTGGTGGAGTTTAGAATGCTCTTTGATTGCAGGTGAACTATAAATCCCAGCAAATACAACCCCCAAATGCCACCAGTGTTCACATTTGGGCATATTGAGTATCAGTGCCAAGTTTGGTCCAGATCCATCCTTGTTTGAGTCCACAGTGATCTCTGGATGTAGGTGAACTACAACTCTAAAACCAAAGGACACTGCCTACCAAACCCTTCCAGTATTTTCTGTTGGTCATGGGAGAACTGTGTGCTAAGTTTGGTTCAACTCCATCGTTGATGGGGTTCAGAATGTTCTTTGATTATAGGTAAACTATAAATCCCAGCAACTACAACTCCCAAATGACAAAATCATTTTTTTGAGTGAAGGACATACATTGGGTTGTTAGGTATCCAGTGGTTTTTGAGTTCTGTTAATCCCACAAACGAACATTACATTTTTATTTATATAGATTTATTTCCTATATTTATACCCTGCCCTTCTCCCCCTGAAAGGGGACTCATGCTTACATATTTCAAAAACCACTTTCAAAAAGACAGAAAATAGAATGCTTTCCTCATTTTAATTGGAACTATTTTATCTCCAGAAATGCTAAAACCATGCTTTATGTTCAGATTGTAACAATAAAAATACATCATGCATATCAGATATTTACATTACAATTCATAACAGTAGCAAAATAGGACATATGCAGTGTGCATAGGAATTTGGTCATCATTTTTTTTTTTAAAAAAAACACTATAGTCCGGCCCTCCAACGGTCTGGGGGAGAGTAATCCGGCCCCCCGTTTAAAAAGTTTGAGGACCCCTGGATTAGGATATAGAATAAAGCAGGGCTTCTTAAACTTTTCCACTTGGGACCCCTTTTAGCTCAAAAAATGTTTACGTGATCCTGGAGTATATAGGTATATAAGATAGGCATAAAATTCAAAACATTTCCTGATAACAGATCAACACTTGCAAGGCTTGCTAAATAGGATGATTTTCCTTTTTATGAAGTACTAGCAGTCCCCTGCCACATGTTGCTGTGGCCCAGTCTGTGTATATGCATTTTGTGAGTATATATGTGTATATATATTTGTGTATATGTGCATATAGGTGGTTTTGCACATGCATTGTAATGTATTTTTGTTTTTTGTTTTTTAAGTCTCTTCCACTGTGTTTTTCAGTGTTTTTATAAGTGATAGTCATTCGGTGACCTGATAGGTGTAATGTGTCCAAATCTGGTGTCAATTCATCCGGTGGTTTTTGGGTTATGTTAATCCCCCAAACGAACATTACATTTTTATTTGTGTAGATACCTGAAGCATCTTCTGCAGAGTCTACTATAAACACTGCACAACAGATTCATGTAAATGTCTAAAACAGTTACTAGGTGACATTCAGAAACCTTTTATTGTTGCCAAATTTTGGAGACCCCAACATTGAACTAAGAGGACACTACTTGGTGTCAGGACTAAAATGGAATAGTGTACTGGATTCAAACTGCAGAAACAGAAATTCGATCTGAATGCTATGAACTTCCTCACAGTTAGAGCTATTTGACAGTGGAATATGCTGCCTCTGAGTGTGGTGGAGTATGCAATTCAAGTACTGGTTTTCATTTATAGAAATATATAGCAAATAATTTTGAGTTTTGATTCTTTAAGTCCATGTGTTAAACTTGCCATATTGTGAATTATACTTTCTCCACTCTCTGGCTAAGAGTTGTTTCCCCTTTCTGATCTGAAAAGGTCAGCATCAAGGGATTTATCCGTGGTATTTTCAAAAGACAGCAGATAACTTTTTTCCTGGACTTGACACTTGTTCCTCCGATACGTTACATGCCAATTCAATATCAGATTGGATTGTTTTGACTAACTCCTCTGTTTTACTGGCTGCTACTTTATGGGCTGATGTTTTGTTGTTCAATTTTAAACTGATTAGAAAAAGACAAAGCCTGAATAATACATCACACAGAGAGCTCCTTGCATTTGTATTTTGCAGCCTGTTTCATTAAACATTTTGGATATTCTTGTCTAGGTGTATATCCACACATGCACATAATCAGCTGCTTATGAAAATAATACATGGTGCTGGGTCTTTATACTTGGGACTTTGGGAGGGGGGGGGCAAGTTGGACAAAAATTATCCCTCAAAATTGCATATCATCAAAACCAAAATGGAAAAAAGTATTTCATTAACAAAAACTTTTCAGCAAAATAATGTATTTCATCAAATAAAATACCAATTTCAAAAACTTATTACCTTTATTTCTTCCAGAGCAGGGAAGTGCAAAGTTGACAAAAGCAGCAACGAGCTCATCCATGTCAGAAGTGAATTCTTAAACTGCGCAACTAAATATGAGACAGCTACATGTAGGAAAATCACCAATAAACCATTGGTGCCCAGCAGAAACCAACTAGCTGCTACACCATATGCCATCAGAACCCAAGGTTTGTACTGAAACAAGAGAAGAAACAACATCTTAAACATTATTTTACAATTCTCAATTCAGTCCAAACATGCATCATAGAACAAAAGGGGCCACGGGGGCCTGTTCTGAAGAACTTGCAGGAATACACAATTAAAGTAGTTTTGAAAGATGTTCATCCAACATCTGTTTAAAGTATACTTTTCAAGGGATAATTTACTATGGGAAGTAGATTAAACTGGAAGAAAGGGGAGTTGATCGCCTGATAAGCTTCAAGATAGCAGTGATGTAAACCCATTTCTCCCAATCCAGAGCCACTTCAGTGCATTCTCTTATCCAATATGGGTTTCACATTAGACACTGTAACACTCATTTACCTTGGTACCAGGACATCACAGATCACAACATGAACCCAAATATAATTTTCTCAAATTAGCAAACAGAGCAGGTTATTTAAGGAAGTGAGAAAAAACTCAAATTATTGCCAATTCATCAAAGGCTCAAGAAATGGCACATGGAACTGGAGATGAACACAATACACCAGAAACAGGTGGCGTAAAAGCACTATGAATCCATAAACTCATGGCTACCATATAAATAGCATGGGAAAGATAGGTTGAAAGGAAGTGGTAAAGTCTGCCTCCCATTCAAGCACGCTTGGTGGGAACACAGGAGAGGACCTTTTTGGTGGCTGCTCCGAGGCTGTGGAACTCCCTCCCAAGAGAAACCTGAATGGGCCCCATACCTGCTGGCCTTCCGCAAGCAGGTAAAGACCTTCCTCTACCAACAGGCTTTTAGGGAAGGGGAGGGTTTGGGGAGGATGGGTGGGATTGCGGAGTGGATATGAGCTTTAAAGGCCATTTTAATGTATTTGCTTTATTTTAATTCTGTTTTTACCGTACTATTATTGTTTAATTGTTTTTTTAACTTTTGTATTACTCTTTTTAAACTGTTTAGTGTGGATAGATGTTCGCCATCTTGAGTCCCCATGGGGAGAAATGCGGGATATAAATAAAGATAATAAATAAATGAAAAATAAAGAGGAAGATACTTGTGGGGCAGAATCTTTGGATGATGACACATCCATCATGCAAGAAAGGACCATATGGAGCAATTGATCACTGGCATTTTTCAAAAAATCAAAGAATGTGGAACTAAGAGCCCTTCCAGACAGGCCCTATATCCCAGGATCTGATCCCAGGTTTTCTGTTTATCCCAGATTATCTGGCAGAGTAGACTCATATAATCTGGTTTAAAGCAGAAAACCTGGGATCAGATCCTGAGATATAGGGCCTGTCTGGAAGGGCCCTAAAAGGCATGAACTGAGATGGCTTTTCAACTTACTCTTGGTATAGTGAAGGGGCAAAGATGAATTTCAGAATTTGCATGCTTAAAATGTGACACTTAGGATGCTATTTAATGTTGGGCATTATTCCAAATATACAGATTTTTTTTTTATTCTCAGTTGTTTTTCTACAAGATGCTGAACTAGAAACATGTCTGATCTTCTCCTGAAGGAGTCTTCATATGTAGCCGCCCCAACCATCACAAACAAGTTTTAGTATATGGCAAGTGAAATGGTCAGAAAGATTTAGTAGCACATTCATGGATCATTGATCACATTAACCCATTATGAAATTTGCATTCCACTCAAATTAATCCCATTTTAGGTTGAAATGGCTTGGAATTCAAGGTCCATCTGGGTCCACATCCAGCACTCAATTCATACACCACAACAAGCACCAATAGCAATGCCCAGAACATCTTCCAAACAGTGTGTCACATCAAAGGTCATCATAAAAATGTGATGTGATGCTGTGGACAGACAAGAATACTGCAGGCAGGGGCTGCCTTGTTTTCCCCTGTGCTTCCAATACAGATCCTATGAACCATAACTGCTGGCAGCCATTTCTCCATTCCAACTGAGATCATTCATCTGGATAACTTTATAAAACCTCTCAGCTGAAACTGCAAAAATATTGGTGACTGTGCCTTTTACACTGTCATGAAGAAAACACTGGATTTTTGAGGTTTATTTTATTTCAGACAGAGAAGAAGAAATCTTTTCAGAACTCTCTCATGCAGGCTGCACTGGTTGCTTAATTAAGTAGTTCAATAGGAACCATTATGTAAAGTTGATTAAAATTAGTCCTCTTTTATAATCAGTCAATTCACCAATATCAGCTTCAGAGTCAACAAAGTAACTTAACTGCTCAATTAAAATTACAGCTTTCATAAACCCTAGCTCCTTTCTCCCCGAAAATACTTATTTGAGAAAACACAGAACTGCTAAAGTTATATAGTTAACTTGAAAACTGCCAACAAACTATATAAAATATGCTTTCTGGCCTAGATTGATCCACTATACTAGGATGGAAATTCTACACGTACTTATCTGGGGTAACAGCCATTAAAAGTCTATATCTGGGTATGAATAGTTGTGATATTAGACATAAAACTCACAGAGCTAAGAACATGGAAATAGAGTATAATTCAGTTATATCACTAACCTGCCTCTGCCGAAAAATAACAGATGACACATAGCCACCACACAAGAAGAAATTATGGGGACCAGGTTGCGGTGCAGCTAGTTAGTAGCCAGCTGCATTAAATCACCATTGACTGAGAGGTCGTGAGTTTGAAGCCAGCCCAGGTCGGAGTGAGCTCCCGACCATTAATAGTCTAGCTTGCTGTTGGCCTATGCAGCCCAAAAGACAGTTTCATCTGTCAAGTAGGAAATTTAGGTACCACTTTATGCAGAGAGGCTAATTTAACTAATTTACAACACCATAAAACTTTCCAGCAGCGTACGTAAGAATGAGGAATTACTCCACCAAGGACTCGGTGTCACAAGTGAATGGTGAAGCGGCAACTCCTCCTGTGGTTGGCATCGAGCATACCCTCATGAAGCCGGAAAACTAGAATGTTAAATTGCCTCTGTGTCTGTCTATATGTGTTGTATGTCTAATGAATGTTTGCCATGTTTATGTGCATTGAAATCTGCCCTGAGTCCCCTACGGGATGAATGCAGAATATAAATACTGTAAATAAATAAATAAATAAATAAATACCTTACAAATGTAATATTTTCTTGACAAATACTTAAGTGAAAGAAACACGAATTGCTCACAGCCTCTCTTTTCATCCTGAGTAATAAATAAAGAACTTACATATCTCTCTTAGGCCCAATGGACAGGATGTTAGACTTACCTGGGAGGCGCTCAGAGCAGGTCTATATGCATATATAAGAAATAGTTCAACACCTCATTATTATTTTTCCTCTTGTAATATCTTATAAATAATGGTATGTGATTTGACTTCACTGTCATGTTTGCCCATCTGTCCTCATAATAAAATAATAATAAAAATTTATTTGGATTATAGCTAGTAACAAAGCAATGTTGTTGTCATGTGTCTTAAGGTGACTCCAGCTTATGGCGATCCTATTATATAGCTTTCTTGGCAAGATTTATTCAAAGGAGGTTTACCAATGCCTTCCTCAGGCCTAGAGAGTGTGATATGCCCAAGGTCACCCTACTGATTTCCACCAAGCCCTGGTCTCAGACCAACCAACAAACCACTACACCATTATGATACTACTTTCATACTTCTACTACCTTTTAATGAAAGAAACTCCCTTATTATGAGTAACATGTGAAATTGGCATCTCTTCAAACTGTGCTTCACCATCTATTAGGCTTGAAGATCAGTTTGAGGTACTTAAGGGATAGGAAGATACAAACATAATAGATATGTACTACATATTTAAATACTTTGCAAGAGCTTTCTTAGCTTATACAGGGATACATATTTATAGAGAGAAACAAATGTGCTTAAAACTGCTTACCTTTTCCATGTAAATGCTCAAAACTTGTGATACCACCATGTGGCCAAGGAGAAGATATAGTATATATCCTTTGCCCCACTCCATCCAGAAACTCCATTCAAAGTCCACTGGATCCTAAACATACATTAAACCAACCATAAAACTGGTTTGAAATTTACAGAAAAATAGAAAGATTCTGTTGGCATAATACTTCCTTTTAAGTCACAAACTAAAAAGGAAAACAGCAGGACTGTAACACAAATGTGTTTACAATTTGAAGCACACATACCAGAAGGGTCAACTAATCTGTCAACAAGTGATCATAATTTCTAGCAGCTGATCTAACCCTTAACTCCAATTTGTTTTGGTTAGAGCAGGTATGGGCAAACATCAGCTCTCCAGCTCTCCGGTAGGCTGTTAGGAAATGTGGGAGTTGAAGTCCAAAATATCTGGAGAGATGATGTTTGCCCATGCCTGGGCTAGAGGCATGATAGATGTGTGTGAGTACACTTGTTAAACCAGTTGCACAAAACAAGAAAGAATTGCACCCATTGTTTAAATGCCATCCAATTTTTTGAAAGGACACACTCTGTGAAGAGAAAATTGCCATCTTTTAATTTTCATTTCATTCAAAAGTGGCTTAGTATTTATGTACGGTACTTCTGGGAATTTTAAAAATTACATATGCATTTGACATCAGTGTGAAAGTTTGAAATAACTCCATCTACATGTAGCCTATTTATTTCTTTATCAATCAATACATCCTTGAGTAGCACAGAAAATACCTCTGGCAAATATCCTCAATATAGATCTCCTATAGACCTCTTTTTAGTTTCCAGGGGGGCTCCTCTGAGACTTCAAATTGATATGTCTGTTGCTGTGTGCAATGATCCCACAACAGTAATGATTACACTGCTATTAATAACCCCAAGGGAGAAAAGGAGAAATAGCAAACTGGTTCAGTTGGGAACAGCCATCATTGGATTTTTTAAAAATGTATTATTGACTGTTTGTATATAAATGATTGTTTTTAAAAATTGTAAACCACATTTGATTGTACTGGCAGAAAGACTGGAGAGAAATAAGTATAAGTTACTGCTTTTTCTTTTGCTTAAGAATGCTTTCATCACAGTCCACATTTCAGAAGACATTCCCAGGAAGGCTGCCAAGAAAAACTAATCCCTTTGCACAATGCTGGTGATCAAAAGGGAATTTCCCAATTAGAACAGAAAGGCGACAGACTTCACTGTCCCTTTTTGAAGGCATTCACACTGTGAAGAAGGGTAGCGCAGATTTCAAGAATGTGTCAAAAGAATTCATTCCTTTTGCCTAACTTATAACAAATCAAATCGAAGGCTAAACCATCAATCCAATGGCTCAACTTTTTCAAAACTTGAAGAAAAAATGCACAACTTCTAATGGTCCTTTAATTAATATTATACAGAAACACAAAAAATAAGGCTGTTGGTCTACTCAGTTCAATATTTATTTATTTGAGGTATTTGTATACCGCCTGTCTCAACCCCGAACGGGACTCAGAGCAGTTCACAGTGTTGGCAACAATTCAATACCATTAATAAAAAAACAGTATAAAACATCAACATTAACTTTCCCCTGATAAAACATTGAACATTATTAAATACATCACATAAAATAAAAACACATATCACACAAAGACATAGCTGTTGTCTGTAAACAGTCCTGGGTCATTGCACTTTCAACTTTCACTTTAAATATTGCTATGATAATGCAGATATTTTAACTAATATCTGCATTAGTTAAAATATCCTACTATCCTGCCCCTTGTATGCTGTATTCTGGTGCCCTGTCCCACACACAAAACATCCTGGTCTCTGACTATGGAGCCAACAAAACTATAACCTACTCTATAGTGGCTTTTAATAATAACAACAACAACTTTATTTTTGTATCCTGCCTTCTTCTCCCAAAGGGACTCGAGGTGGCTTACATATGGCACAATGTGCCTAAAACAATGTATAATAAACACACAATACAATACAAGATAAAACCAATAACATATAAAACAAAGTTTCAACTCAAAACAGTGCCCAATAATCTATGATGAGAACTGTCGTAAGACATAGCCAACTGCAAACAGGCACAGGGAATACTTTAGTGCAAATTTTCGCTAATAAACCAGGGAATGGTGCAAAAGTGCTGTGCTGTGGCATTAATTGTAGACCATTGGGACTAGGCATTCTCAAAGGCTTGTCAAAACATCCAAGTCTTCAATTCCTTCTGGAAGGAGGAGTTTTGCTACACTTTTCCATGTATGTCTCCAAACTGTACCTCAGGATGAGAGAGGGTGAACTTGCAAAGCTACAAACACAGAGACATGAACACACAGTAGAAGCTGCTGGCAATTTCCATGTCAATCTCCTCTGGGATTTAGTCTAATTTTTTAAAAAGACTTATCCAAGGTTCTGAGTCAACATAACTTCAACACACTGGAAAACCTCTTAAAATCTGTACTAAAACCCAAAATGGATTCATCAACACACTGGCATAGAAACAATTGATTGCCACTGGCATAAAGACTGAATTGTTCTAAAAGATGTATTGTCGAAGGCTTTCATGGCTGGAATCATTGGGTTGTTGTAGGTTTTTCGAACTGTATGGCTATGTTCCAGATGCATTCTCTCTTGACTTTTCGCCTGCATCTGTGGCAAGCATCCTCAGAGGTTGTGAGGTTTGTTGGAAACTAGGAAAATTTGGTTTATATATCTGTGGAAGGTCCAGGGTGGGAGAAAGAACTCTGCTACTAAACGCAGCATTGCCTGAACACAAATCAAGGTACATGAAAGGCCATAGAGAAGTCAGCCATAACAGAGCACCTGATGAACCAACCTGGACACAGCATATTATTTGAGAACACAGAAATGCTGGACCACTCTAACAACTACCATGTCAGACTACACAGAGAAGTGACTGAAATCCACAAGTATGTTGACAATTTACGGCTCCGGCCCAGCTTACTTGTCCGAATGTATCTCCCTCTACGTTCCACTTCGTAATTTAAGATCTACTGGGGAGGCCCTGCTCTCGGGTTCGCAAACACGTCTGATGGGGACGAGGGACAGGGCATTCTCAGTGGTGGCCCCCTGTTTGTGGAATTAGTGAATTCCACAAACGGAAATCAAAACCTCGATTTTAGTTTTTCCCTAAAAGAAAGGAGGGAGGACGCCGATCTGATCTCACTGGGGAGTGCCCCAGTGAGATCAGATTGGTGTCCTCCCTCCTTTCTTTTAGGGAAAAACTAAAATTGAGGTTTTGGAGCCAGGCCTTTGGCTAGTGGGCACAGCAGCACTTTAAATACAGAACCCGGACCACGGGACTGTTACGACAATTGGAAACAGCTATGTGACTTTGTGACTATGTGATTTGTGACTATGTGATTATGTGATTTTAATTCATGTTACTGTTTTTAATCTGCTATGTATTATGATTTTATATTGTGTTACTGATATAGTGGCATCGAATTGCTGCCTGCGTTAGCCACCCTGAGTCCCCCCTCGGGGGTGAGAAGGGCGGGGTAAAAATTGTGCAAATAAATAAATAAATAAATAAATAAAACAGAAAGAAAGAAACCATGAAAATGAACAAAATCTATCAGTACTAAAAAAAAACCCCTCTAAAATTATAACAGTAAATAAAAAAACAAAACTCAAACACAGGAGAACTCCAGACAAAAAACAATCAGGAACACCTAATTACCTCTCAACAAAGGAATTTCCCAGGCAGTAACAAGCCACACTTAAAAACTGTCAGGCCATCAAATGCTAATCAAGGTGGTCAATTAAAACATTCACACCTAGCTCCAACAAATAAGAGTTCTTTCTCCCACCCTGGACCTTCCACAGATATATAAACCTCACTGACCTAGTTTCCAACAAACTTCACAACCTCTGAGGATGCTTGCCACAGATGCAGGTGAAACGCCAGGAGAGAATGCTTCTAGAACATGGCCATATGGTCCAAAAAACCTACAACAACCCTGTTCTAAAATACTTTGATGGTAGTCATAAGGAGGTCTCTAGTTGAGATTAATTATTCTACCTATCAGTGAGAAGGCTAGTAATCAGGACTATATGCTGAACAGCTTTTCAGTCTCTGTCATTGCCTAAACTCCTTGAATAAAAAAGTCTCTAGAATAACCAAGTAATTATGAGAGTATGCTAAATGTACTCTGTAGTACATCATAAACTGTTGTTTGCAGGAATAAATAGAAACAAGTCAACAAAAAGGATTGGATTAAATGGGTAGTCCATTGAATCAGTTGCTGGGGAGTACATTCACACTTATAGAGGTCTAACTGGTTCAATAAAGCTACAATATTTGGGACGAGCCACTGCATCTACTCAGTCACTGGGTGACATGTTGGGCAAGAATGCTAACATGAAGATTCTATTTTCAAATGATTCTATTTTCAGCATTTGTAGCACCAAAAGCTACAAACAAATATTGGAAATGTTTTAATTCTTTGATCGCCATATTAAATTGGCAGTAGCGAGTGGTCATTAAAGCAATGCCTGAAAGATGGGTTTTACAAGGAAATCTGACCTCTACATAGAACCATGAAGATCAGATTTGCAAAATCTAACACAGCGATAGATACATTTCTCCTCCAAGATCCACAAGCTATGTTTATTGGCAAGCCACCTAATACCAAGCTGACAAGCCATTTGGCAAAGAGCGGACTGACGACTGATCACAATTTGTGCCAAAATGTTCTCTCTTTATCCAGAAAATAATTTAATACACTAGTCATCATATCCAATTATTGTCCACTAAATGACAATTCAAACTGAACTCCCACGCGTATTCAAATTAGACATGATATGGCAGTAGTACACATAGATCTTACCTTTTTAAGTCCCCCAAACAGTGAATCAGTTTCCAGTTCAAATTCTCGATGAAGTTCCTCTTCATGTTCTGCAAGAAATAATATATAATAATAGAGCAATGGAAGTTTAATCTTTAGAAGTATTTTTTCCTTAGTCCCTCTTCTCCCAGTGCTCTCTTCATTTGATTCTACCCTTTTCTCTTTTTCTTGTTTTCTTTCTCTGGCCTCCAGGTCTATTCTTTCTCACTGATTATTCTTTCTCTCTACCCAGGGTCTCCTGGTGGCACAGCAGGTTAAACCACTGAGCTGCTGAACTTGCTGACAGTGGTTCAAATCCAACTGTTAGGCCCAGCTTCTGCCAAACTAGCAGTTTGAAATAATGCAATAGGTACTACTTCTGCGAGAAGATAATGGCACTTCATGCTGGCCACATGACCTTGGAGGCATCTATAGACAACACCAGCTTTTCAGCTTAGAAATGGAGATGAGCACCAACCCCCCAGAGTCAGACACAACTAGATTTCATGACAGGGGAAGCCTTTACCTTTACTACCCAGGTACTCTGGTGCTAAGATTTTTTTTCTCCCTCCACCCGTTACTTGAAGGATTTAAGGACAAAGGGAAATAGTGCATGGGTTGTGCAAACAGCCTGGAAAAATACATGCTTAGGGAAGACTCGGGATCTCTTCTCACTTAAGAAATGAAGATACTACTAAAGAGTATATATAGATATTAATGAACTAAAAGAAATCAATGCATTTTAAATATATAATAAAAACTGAGATCCATACCATAGGATCCCTTTATTATCAATTCTGACTTTCAGGTATTACCCATATTGACTCAAATCGCAAGCACTCCTCAATTTTCAAAATCATGAAACCAAAAAAAGGCTGTGTTGACAAATGTGATGCATAGAAGCAAAAAGTATACTCCTTGTAATTTGGTCAAAAAAGATGCACATTATAGTTCTGCCTGGTTAGAATTCCTTCTTTAAAAACAAAGGTGCTGGGGCATCAAAGCTTCCAGCAATGGAAAAGAAAACCCTGGGGTGCATCTCTGCTGTAAAATGAATCCACTTTAACTGCCCTGAATCTATAATATGGAATCATAGGGATTGTAGTTTTGCAAGGTCTTGAGCATTTCCTGCCAAAGAATGCTGATGCCTCACCAAACTACACATCCCAGGATTGCATAGCATTTAGCCATGGTCATTATATTAGAGATGACATTCCTCAAATATTAGCTCCAGGTTCTCTTGAAGCAGCTTCCCTTTTGGTTAAGCTCTGCAGTAAGATGACCATATGATGCCAATCTAATGAGCTACCTAATTTTGGCAAGGTTATTTAGCCAAAAAAGGTGAGCACTAGACTCAAATAAAAAGGGTATAGTCTTGAAGCTATGCAGAAACTAACACATGTACACACACACATTTTGATTATTATAGCATTCATTACAGGCATATTACAGTATGTTTTTCCTTCATAGTTTATTTATTTTCAAAATTATTGTGAATAGTGCTACACAAAATTATACAAACATTCAAAACATACATCATTTCTCCTCTTTCTTTCTCCCTCCCCTCCCCAGGAACAGTTTACAATTTTTGCTGTACTTATTACGATTCTTCGATCATGAGGATAATCTTGTTTAATTCCTTATATTTATCTTTCCCCTTTATTCTGTAAATTAAGCCTTTCCATTTTGCCTTCTATGACATTCTGATTTGGCCCATCCTGTAGTAACTTTTCCTTTCGCAAATGTAGTCTTGGAAGAGCAAGTCCACTAAATATTTATACCATGTTTTGTGTCCCATTTCGTTTGGTCCTTCCAGCCTAAAGCGATTGAGGCTTTAATTGCATCTAACATGTAATTTATTAATATCTCCCATTATTTGACTTTAATTTTCTGGAGGAAAATTTGTGCCTTGTTCCAATCTATTTTTATCCCTAATAGTTCCTCCATTTCCTTCTTAATTATTTTATGGAACTTTTGTATTTGTTCACAATCCTACCACATGTGAATGTATATTCTGGTTTTCCTGCAGTTGTGCCAACATTGTTTTGGGAAGGTTCTGGTTATGTGAGCTAATTGCACAGGAGTTTTATACCATTTTGTCTAGATTTTCCATTGCAATTCCTTTATTTTTAAATGTTTTATTTTATTAATTGAGACATATTATAGTATTGGTAGGTTATATTAAGATAAACCAATTGAATGCATTACAAATACCTTTTAGACCATTGTGTATGTTGGATTCTGTTCTATACACACAGCAGCTAAAATTTTGTCTTCCAAAAAAAGATGAAGAAAAACCCATAGAACACATTACAACACACTTTTTGGGCACTATGTATGTTGGAATTCTGTTCTAAACACACAACATCCAAAAATCTCTCCAAAATAACTCTTGTATATCACACACACACAAACATACATGCACTACCACTTCTAAATTCTTGGAGAATAAGAGACCAGCAATCCAATTGTTTTTATTTACTTGGGTGTCCTTCAAGAACGTTATTTGCAGGGACCTCCTAGGGTTCCCTGGAGGTCCTTACTAGCATTCATTACAACATGTCCAACTAATGGAAAATACTTGGCTGTATCACCACTCATCCCTTCACTCTGACAATCGGGAAATTGCTTTGTTGCAGGGTGCTGTTTTGTGGGTGGAAACATCTGGAAATGTAGCTATAGAGACATGGAAACTATGCCACAGTCCCAATGAAGGATCATGGTGTGGTTTCCATTTGAAAAGGATTTACTCCAGCCAAAGGTTTACTGACTGAAATAAAGGCTACTGACTGACTGACTGAATTTATTCCAGAACACAGTTACATGTCAGAGACAACCAACTACCAAGATAGATCACTAAAACAACTTTATTTCAACTCCATGACTCTTTCAAACTTTAATCTAACAACAAAAATAATGCAAACTCTTCAAAACTGTGTAGATTGAGATACTTTTCATATTACTGGAGCACCTGCCACAATGTGATAATTATCAGTTGCAGAAATCCTAAAGATCAGTTTAAAAAATTCTCAGAATTAATGACATGATATTTTGGAAGCAGCTTTAGTTATATTATATAAAATCACAGGATATATACATTTCTAATATTTGTGTATAGCTACCCGCCGCCGCCGCCGCCACTAAATGCCAATAAGAATTGAGAAAGCATCAGCCTTGGCCAATGCCTTACATGTGTAATCCAGTGGATATCACAGACACTCTTGCCAACAATCTATCCCTAACAAAAGACTGTCAAAAATAATTTCAGGGTCATGCTGAAAGCCACTAACTGTGCTTAGTTGAAGGAGGAGGGTGCTATTGGAGTGAAGAGCGAAATTCGTGATTTATCACCTTTGCCTTTCTGAACAGATTCTTAATATCCACCTGAAGAAATTCATCTCTCAACAGAATGAGTTTTTCCTTTGTGACATCCAAGATGAATCTCAGGAAATGTTGCCATCTCTCAAAATTTCCCTTTTTTGTTTTTAACCTGGTGACTGAGCAAATCCAGAATCAGCAACTATTGCATTCTGCGGGTTAACACAATGGAAATGCAGATGATTTGTGCATCATAAAGTAGTATGTTCTGTGACCAACTCTATCAGTCTTGTTCTGTATTATATTTTAAAGCAGTGGTTCGCAACCTTCCTAATGCTGCAACCCTTAATACATTTCCTCGTGTTGTGGTGACCCCCAATCATAAAATTATTTTCGTTGCTACTTCATAACTGTAATTTTGCTACTGTTATGAATCATAATGTAAATATCTGATATGCAGGCTGTATTTTCATTCACTGGACCAAATTTGGCACCAAATACCCAATATGCCCAAATTTGAATACTGGTGAGGTTGGGGGGCTATTGATTTTGTCATTTGGGAGGTGTAGTTGCTGGGAGGTATAGTTCATCTACAATCAAAGAGCATTGTGAACTCCACCAATGATGGAATTGAAACTTGGCACACAGAACTCCCATGACCAACAGAAAATATTGAAAGGGTTTGGTGGGCATTGGCCTTGAGTTTTGGACTTGTAGGTCACTTGCATCTAAGAGAGTACTGTGGACTCAAACAGTGATTGATCTGGACCAACTTGGCATGAATACTCAATATGCCCAAATGTGAACACTGGTGGAGTTTGGGGCAAATAGACTTGACATTTGTGAGTTGGATTTGCTGGGATATATAGTTCACCTACAATCAAAGAGCATTCTGAACCAGCGATAAAATTGGGCCAAACTTCCCACACAAAACCCCCATGATCAATAGAAAGTACTGTATTTTCTGATGGTCTTTAGAGATCCCTCTGACACCCTCTCACAACGCCCGCCCCCCCAGGGGTCCCAACCCCCAGGTTGAGAAACACTGTTTTAAAGCTATATCTCTCTGCACAGATTGAATGGACACTGTGGATATGTTCCACCAAACATAAATTTGAGGTCATATTGAAAAGGGTGGGGGCAAGATAGAAAGTTACAAGGACACAGTAGGTATAGCCAGATAGCTACAGGCATAAATATCAGAAACCAGCCTCACATTGAGATCATTCACAACTCATGAATTTCCCTTGCATTAGTTCAACACTAAATACCCTAAGGCACTAGATTCTGTCTGATCTTGCAAGCTAAACAGAGTCAGCCTTGCTTATTATTTCCACAGAAGATCACCAATGAATTCCAGGTACTGTAGGCTATATTACAGAGGAAGGAACTGGCAAAACCACCTCTGATAATTCTTGGCCTGAGAAATCCATATAAAATGCATGGGATCTCCATAAGTCAACGAACAACTTGAAGGCACATGCACACACAGGATATAGTGTCAAATTAGGACACATAGTTACTAGAACAGTTTCTATAGCAACCATACACTAATGTGAGCATAAAATAAATCCCTAGTCATTCCCATCCCAACCCAAAGCAGGTGCCCTATAAAGCTAATGGGATTTTCCAACTCAAAACCAAGACATCCCAAAACATACTTTGGACTACAGCATGCACAGCTTGTAATAATGTACCGTATATTCCGGCATATAAGACGACTGGGCGTATAAGACGACCCCCAACTTTTCCA